CTTGCTAGGGCCCTAAATTGTTTTACCTTAATGAAGAAAACGCGCTCCAATATACGGCACTGCAGTGCTTATCTTGATTGTACGTTTCTGCTCAGGTTACAAAGGGGGCTTCGTTATTTCTTGGACTTCAAACGGGTTTTCGTTCTCGTGAGAATCAATCGGAGACCTCGTGCCGAGGCTTGGATTGCCTATCGAAAGTATTCAATAAGGATTTGCTTCTAAGCTAAGAGCTTAGGCCAAAAGCGTCTTGACAATACAAACAAGGAGCTTAAAACGCATATCTCTTTAGAGAAACGCTCAAAGGTACAAGGACATGGGGCTAGAACTGGACTGTACCCAAGAGCGACCGAAAGCTTATACCAGTTGCACAGCCAGGCAATTTCTTGCAAGGGGTGGGTGATCGGAGCCTTTGCAACTTGCGCGAGAGAACAGTCAGCTTATTATGAAAAGTCTATTCGATGGAACTCGACTTGGCGGACAAGCTTGATTTCGCCTGACATTTAGCAGCGTGGACCTCCCAGAGGCTGTTTCGAGCAAAATCGAGTTCGCCCAATATACTGCCCATCTATTAACCTTGTCGAATGGAAGTAAGCATTTGACATTATCTAGAGTAATCTATACTACCAGCGCTAGTCGGGTAGGATGTGCTCCAATTTGAAAGCTTTATATAGCTGTCCTATCTTCAAAGAAATTCTTTACATACTTGTCTACTTTCTTGGCCTGAAAATCATTCTGTGTAGTGCTGACACCGTCCATAGTACCATCCAATAGCAGTGATGTTGGCACAGGTCGTATAGGCAAATTACGCGTAGCCTCGAAGCATCAGACGTGATTTTATCAGAAGCAAAACGTGGAATCTAACCTTCTTTTCATCAAAATCTGCTCTATTAGTCGTGGTTCCTGCGAATTCTCCGCTTTGAAGGGCAGCTACAGCAGGCCTGTAGGACTTGGTTCGTTCGCCCTAAGATAAAATCATTTTTTTTTCGTATAAGATTTAAGGAGTAAAGGCTTACCTGCTTTTTATCGAAATCTGCCATGTTGGTGGTAATTCCATTAAACTCTCCGGACTGGATTGAAGCGACAGCAGGACGGAATGCTTTTTGACGTCCACCCTCAAAACTGTAGCATACGATGGAAGAAGTAGTTTCA